AAGGGTGATGCCCAACCTTAGGATGGGGATAACTGCCCACTGTAGGATGAGGCGCTCGAGACCTATGGTCTGAGGTGGATGTGCACGGTTGTGCCATTGGTTCGCGCGTGCGCGTCAGACCATTTTTTCTGTTTTTTGAAGTAAGGACGTGAAACACTTGATGGGATGTGAAACCCCTTGGGGTTGAAAGGTAAGTGGATGTACCACCCTTGAGATGAGATACCCAACTTTAGGATGAGATAGCCCCCCATTTAGGATGAAGGGATCACGAACCACTGGGGTGAGATGCCCAACCTTGGCGATATATGGTGCCACCGATTCAGTGGCAGCACGAGTTGAATCTTCCGTGATCATACGCTGAAGGTCTTCTTCGGTTATCTGAACCGTTCGAGAAGTAAGTAGAAATTGATCATGTTGAGGACCCAGTGGGGCCTCACGAGGAGGAGCGTTGGCTCCTGCTATGACGATGTATGGTGCCACTACTTCAGTGGTAGCACAAGTTGAAGCTTCCGCGATTATACGCTGAAATTGATGTAGAGAGGTGAGGGGATACCCTGCCTTTGGGGATGGGATGTCCAACCCTTGGGGTGTGTTAGCCCCCCAGCTTAGGAGGAGTTACGTGATGCGGGGATGGTACGCGTGGCGTGGGAGCACAGGGCGATGATGCGCGAGGGATAGGCGCGCGGCGCTAGCGCACGTCGGCGAAGGCGCTCGGCGAGGGCGCGCGGCGCTAGAACGCGTCGGCGAGGGCGTGCGGCGCTAGCGCGCGTCGGCGAGGGCGCACGGCGCTAGCGCCCGCTAAAGGCGCAAGGCTAGGGGGCGCGCTGCGCGGTGTTGGGGCGCAAGGCCGGCGGGCGCGCGCGGCGGCAAGGGCGTGCGCGGCATTGCAGCGCAAGGCCTGGGCGTCGGAGGTCGCGTTTGCGCGTGGTAGCCTCGAACGAGTTGTCTCGTCGCGAGGTGGTAGGGCCGAGCATTTTGAGACATGTTTCACCACAATTTAGTTGAAGCGCGAGAGTTGTCACACGGGTAAGTAGTAACTGGGAGTTGTATCGCCCAGATGTTATATCGACTCGAGAGTTGTCTTGAGGCTAAATATTATTGTCGGGGAAGTTGTCCCGCTGCGACGTGGTAACGACTCAAGAGCTGTCTCGAGGCTAAGTGTAGGCGTCGGGGGAGTTGTCCCGCTGCGACGTAGTAGCGACTCGAGAGTTTTCTCGTGGCTATAAGACATCTCATGTACTTGAAGTAGGACATCCGATGTAGTTGAAGTAGGACATCTGATGTACTTGAAGTATGATATCAGATGTAGTTGAAGTAGGACATCTGACGTACTTGAAGTATGACATCAGATGTAGTTGAAGTAGGACATCTGATGTACCTGAGGTAGGACATCAGATGTAGTTGAAGTAGGACATGTGATGTACCTGAGGTAGGACATCAGATGTAGTTGAAGTAGGACATCTGATGTACTCGAAGTATGACATCAGATGTAGTTGACATCTGATGTACCTGAGGTATGACATCAGATGTAGCTGAAGTATGACATCTGATGTACCTGAGGCATGACATCAGATGTAGTTGAAGTAGGACATCTGATGTACTCGAAGTATGACATCAGATGTAGTTGACATCTGATGTACCTGAGGTATGACAGCAGATGTAGCTGAAGTAGGACATCTGATGTACCTTAGGTATGACATCAGATGTGGTTGAAATCTGATGTACTCGAAGTATGACGCAGATGTAGCTGAAGTAGGACATCTGATGTACCTTAGATATGACATCAGATGTAGTTGAAGTAGGACATCTGATGTACTCGAAGTATGACATCAGATGTAGTTGACATCTGATGTACCTGAGGTATGACATCAGATGTAGCTGAAGCATGACATCTGATGTACCTGAGGTATGACATCAGATGTAGTTGAAGTAGGACATCTGATGTACCTTAGGTATGACATCAGATGTAGTTGAAGTAGGACATCTGATGTACCTGAGGTATGACATCAGATGTAGTTGAAGTAGGACACCTGATGTACCTTAGGTATGACATCAGATGTAGTTGAAGTAGGACATCTGATGTACTCGAAGTATGACATCAGATGTAGTTGACATCTGATGTACCTGAGGTATGACATCAGATGTAGCTGAAGCATGACATCTGATGTACCTGAGGTACGACATCAGATGTAGTTGAAGTAGGACATCTGATGTACTCGAAGTATGACATCAGATGTAGTTGACATCTGATGTACCTGAGGTATGACAGCAGATGTAGCTGAAGTAGGACATCTGATGTACCTTAGGTATGACATCGGATGTGGTTGAAGTAGGACATCTGATGTACTCGAAGTATGACATCAGATGTAGTTGACATCTGATGTACCTGAGGTATGACAGCAGATGTAGCTGAAGTATGACATCAGATGTAGCTGACATCATATGTACCTGAGGTATGACAGCAGATGTAGCTGAAGTAGGACATCTGATGTACCTTAGGTATGACATCAGATGTAGTTGAAGTAGGACATCTGATGTACTCGAAGTATGACATCAGATGTAGTTGACATCTGATGTACCTGAGGTATGACATCAGATGTAGCTGAAGCAGGACATCTGATGTACCTGAGGTATGACATCAGATGTAGCTGAAGTAGGACATGTAGCAGAAGTAGGACATCTGAATGGCCTAGTCGATCATATGTCGAATATCCTCTTTGGTTATCTGAACCATGTGAGGTGGAGCTGGTTGATGAGGGTCTTGCTGAAGGTTTCGAAGTGGATCTCGAGCGCGACCTCAAGTGTCATCTCGAAGATAGCCTCGAGGATCATCACGAGGGGGTCTAGAAGGGGATCTCGGTCACGACGTCAAGTGACGTCCTGAGACATGTCAAACCTGAACCTGCACGTGGCAAGTTGGTTGTTGTTCTGAGGTTGTGCTATGGGTGGAGCCACAGGAGGAGCGTTGGTTTCCGTTGTGGCGATGCGTTGTGCTACTGCTTCAGTAGCAACGCGGGAAGATGCTTCCGTAATCATAAGTTGAAGGGCCTCCTCGGTTATCTGAACCGTTAGAGGAGCAAGTAGAAGTTGATGACCCATGGCGAATGAAATGTTTTGGGGGCACTGTGAACCCCCAGGGAGTCGATAACCCTTGGCGAACGAAATATTTTAGGGGCAGATGTAAGCCCCCAGGGAGTCGATAACCCTTGGCGAACGAAATATTTTGGGGGCGATGTAAGCCCCCAGGGAGTCGATAACCCTTGGCGAGCGAAATGTTTTGGGGGCACTGTATACCCCCAGGGAGTTGATAACCCTTGGCGAGCGAAATATTTTGGGGGCAGATGTAAGCCCCCAGGGAGTCGATGGCGGTAGTGCCATAGGTGGCTCCACATGTGGAGCAGGTGCTGGTATCGCGTTGGGAGCATTTGCTCCCATCGTGGCGATATATTGGGTCTCGGCCTCTGTGGCAGCGCGAGTTGAAGCTTCTGCTATCATGCGTTGAAGCGCATCCTCGGTTATTTGAACCATTCGAGGAGCAGGGAGTGGTGGATCGGCGAGTGGTGGGTCCCGAGGGGGGATCACCTGAACCTCGCGAGGCGGATCCATGGGATGTGGAGGAGGTGGCAAGCCAGAGCCTCCACAAGGTGGGAGGTCGTTAGCTGTGTCATTTTCTCTCCGAGCAGACGCCTCAGGAGGATCTTGTTGGCTACGTGATCTGGTTTGCATCGTTCCCACAGACGGCGCCAAAATGATGATGCTAATTACTAGCTCACCTAGGGTGGTGTAGAAAACGAACTGGGAGAGCAAAGCAGATCAGTAGCTTGACAACTTGATGATCCTGAGGTACCTGCGATCATAGAACACATAAGCTAAGCCGGGGGTTGATCCGGCGGAAACCCCTCCGACGCTCAAGTCAGACGTGCTGATCATAGAAATAGTCCCGAGAATACCATTAGTAGTATTGCTCAGATAATAGGACGTACCTTAATAAAATGAGTAAAACCTCTATTTATATGTCGTTTATTGGGTTGGGTTTGCTTTGTTGGGCCCAAACCTTACTTGAAGGTGTTTGGGCCTCGGTGATATTAGTCTTCGATATTGGGCTCGTAGCCCAGTAGGTAAAGAAATTGTAGGCCCATTGGGTTGGCCCAATTAGGCATATCATATAGTGTTCTAAAATTGAATACTTATGATAAATATATCATCTCTGGTGAAAACATGAATTTCATAGAGTAGAAAATAGATTGATTTCAATGACCAAAAAATGAAATGTAGAACAAAAGATAAAGTACTGAGAAGAAATAGAGAAAAATAAAGATAAAAAAAGAAATAGAAACAGACGAGGAAATGGGGGAAAAGAGAGAGATAGAGATGAGAGAGGAAAGAGGGAGAAGAAGAATAAGAAAAATATACGACAAGAGAGGAAATGGGTGGAGAGAGAGAGAGAGAGAGAGAGAGAGAGAGAGAGAGAGAGAGAGAGAGAGAGAGAGAGAGAGAGAGAGAGAAGAAGAAGAAGAAGAAGAAGAAGAAGAAGAAGAAGAAGAAGAAGAAGAAGAAGAAGAAGAAGAATAAAAGAAAAACACGTCAAAAGGAAAAAAGAAGAGAGAGAAATGAATGTAGAATATAAAATGACGGATAATAGAGAAATAAGGAGAAGATAGAGAAAGTAGGAGAAAAATATGGACAAAAAATGGCATAATGGACATTAATAAAAGTTTAAGGGGGTCACACAATTCAAAAAATATTAAATTGATTTATTTACGAATGATCAATTATAAATTAGACCAAAACTATATTATTTTACCTAGTAAGGGGTATCCCTTATTTTCCTAGAAATTTAAATCACTTAATATTTAACTCAAATTTTACAACTATATCAATGACTTGCAAAAAAAACCGCGTACTTTTACAAATTACTACAAGAATTTGGTAAATATTTGTAAACATTCAAAAAGTTATGGAAAATACAACAAGAAATGGATTAATCAAGTAGCATTTGCTCCAATACAATTTAAACTTCAGGGAATATTATTGCATGTAAAATCCATATCTCAAGACAACTTATTCAAATACTCTTGGAAAAAAAAAAAAATTACAACTAAAATGCTGCATTTGTTCACAACACATATTATTCAAATACTATCATATGGGGACAAAAGAGAAACTAAAATGTTGTGCATCTAAATTAGTATCAACCTGGAGTGATATCTAACTCATACGTTGATATCAAAAAACTTGTTATTAACTCATTTTTTCCTCAACTAAAAATAAGGCAACGCAGCTCGAGTTGTCGATAATCGTGCATGAGCCACTTTACTTGTGAAAACGGCTTTTCGATCTCAAGTTTCTGGTATAGTGGTCAATATTTCCTGATGGATATACATAAATATATATACATTAGTGGAAACATTTCGATAATTGGAAGCAACAAATTAAAAAAAAAAAAAAAAAACATACCTCAGAATAACGAAGATTGTGACGCTTCACCTGTGTAGATTTAAGGACATTTTCCGACTTAATATCACCTCTACGTGCCTTAAACGAACCATTCCTTGTTGACATTGACGGCAAAGTACGGCCAAGCCAAGAGTCCGATGGAGATTTAAGCAGAGGCGGAGGTACCGGAAAATCCGAGTACTTTCCAATATTATTAGTGGCTTCATTTTCAGCCACTTTTATATTTTTTCTAGTGGTTGTTGAATCTACGTTTGCACCTTTATTTTCTCCGAAAACCATAGGTGTAATTTCCGTACCCCATTTTGTATTTGATTTATCGGTCGAGTATACCTTTTTGATGCAACGTGATTCGCGAGTCCGTTCATCAAATTCGCCATCTAAAGTGTTCGACTTCTTGAAATCTTTACGAGATGAATACGCTGCGTGCATTGGATCCATTCTCTTAGTACTAATCTCATTATCTTCTTCTTCCTCTTCTTCAATTGAATCAAGAATATTATTATTATTATCCACCTTATATTCGCTATCAACATAGACAGTTTTCTCGACAATAGAATTACCACCTACTAATAAATCGAACTCCTTTTGACTGTCTCGATCAGCCTGCAGTAATTCCTCAAAGGTTTTCGATCCCTTCTTTTGCGATTCGAATCCCTTAACATAAAGATCTTTTTTCTCTTCAAGAAACGACAAAGAGTATTTTCCACAATATATTACCGCAATCTCGTTTTTCGAACGAGCCTTATTATTTCTTCGGAAATCGCCAACCGGTTTCACCTCGTACTTCTCAAAAAAAAAATATATCAAGAATTCAGTACTAAATAGTAGAAATCACTTTGGCATGCAAAAATAACACAAACAACATACATGGGGTTTGCTTAGGGTTTATTGCAATTAGTACCCCTGTATTATATCGAAATTGCCAAAAAACTATTCCATATTATTTTATGGTAAAAACCCTCCTACGATTTATTTATTTTTAGCACACAACCCCTAAACAGGGGTACTAATTGCTAAAAATAATTAAATCATAGGAGGTGTTTGCCAATAAAAATATAACATGGGGTAGTTTTTTGGCAATTTCGATATATCACAGGGGTACTAATTGAAATAAACTCGATTTTCTGTTAATTACCTCATTTTCAGAGTGATGAGTAGAAGAGCTAGCTGAAGATTGTATCCCATTACTACAAGAAGAAAATATTGCTCTTGCCCGAATACTCATCGCGGGAATCGGATTCAAGACGCAGATCGAACTCTTAAAGCAAAATCGAGGCACTAAACCACAATCTCGGAGAAAATCTCCACCTTCTAATTCATCTCTATTATTCACTACTCCTCTAAATGCTGTTGTTTTCTTTTTTCGATCGGAAGAGAATCTTCCGGAGGCATCTTTCGTTCGAGTTCTCGATATTGCATCTACAAATACGAATGATTCATCGCAGTATCCCGAAGAATTATCAGAGCTACTCTTGCTCTCATCTTTAGATTTCTCGGAGATTTCGAAGTTCTCACACTGCGGCTTCGGTTTTCCGGGCGTTTGTTCCCAGTGGAAAGGGACGGTTCCGGGATTCTTGACGGGGCCGGATTTAGGTTCGGGTCGGTGAAGAGGAAGCCGAGGCCGTATAACCGAGACAGCTTTGTCGGTTTTCGTTTCGTCGTAATTATTCTGCGAGTAGTTCTGTCTTCTGACTGACAGGATTGGTTGGTTCAAATTCAGTTTCTTGTTCTGCGCCATGTTGTTCAGCAACTCCTTGTTTCTCAACTGTAAATTAATATTTCACCTGAAACAAGAAAATAACAGAAAATATATTGTCCCTAGAAGTGGTGACGTCATCATCTTGATTTTATAATTCAAAAAATAAAACAATAAAGTTACAGACAATCTTGTTGGGGACAGGTAAAACATCAATGAACCCACATTTTATTTTTACCAATTAAGATTCACCGCTGTGTATTTACTATGAAACGGCAGAAATATTAAATGGAGACGGAACATATGATTTTCTATACAAGTATCAATTTTGACACGTGAAAAAATTGTTATTTCCACCTCTCAGCGAATTTAATTATTTAAACATGAAAAATGTTATGAAACAAAACATTTAGCATTTATATCTCTAATAATTCTCAAAGCATGTTTTATACAAGAGATGGAATTGTGTAGGGCGAGGAATATTGTGTGTTCGGAATATTCTCCGCGTTAAGGACGAATCCACCATAAAGCGAACTATGGGATAAATAGTTGGACCTTACACCGTATCGGACTTCAAACTAGCTACAAAATTACGGCTAATGCGGTTTGTATATTATTTTGATTTTCGGGAGTAACATAGCAATTGTCGACGTACAATATTGTATTGTAATTACCATTTGATAATTTTTTAAAATTCTACTTCAAAATTGTCGCGACATTGCAATGGAACTGAATGGCGGTCTTTGCAGCAACCGCCACAACCACTCCAACGGACCATGGCAATATTTCAAGCCAATAGAATTGGACAATTTTAAGCATCTAAACACAAAACATAATAAGAGAATTACGTCTAGTTGACGAAATTACGGGACCAAACTTCTTGAAACATATAATAACCCGCCAAATCAAGAGCGATAAAAAAGATTATAACCTAAGATAAATCATCAATTGGCTAAACGTGAAAAAAAAAATACCAAATATTTGATCACAAAATTTTGAGCAAAAAAATTGTACCTTTTGTTCAAACTGAGGAATCTTTTCTCTTGTTCGAACTTTTTTTGTTCAGCATATGCCCTCATATTTATGGATGATTAGAATTGTCACACAAACAAAATTAAAGGAAAGAACTTGAAGTTGGGAGAGAGAGAGAGAGAGAGAGAGAGAGAGAGAGAGAGAGAGAGAGAGAGAGAGAGAGAGAGAGAGAGAGAGAGAGAGAGAGAGAGAGAGAGAGAGAGAGAGAGAGAGAGAGAGAGAGAGAGAGAGAGAGAGAGAGAGAGAGAGAGAGAGAGAGAGAGAGAGAGAGAGAGAGAGAGAGAGAGAGATGAAACTATGTGGAGACAAAGAGGAGTTTTATTATACCTTGTGTAAAATGGAGAAGAACATATAATATATATGTATATGCATATCTTGTGCGTAGGAAATTTAAATTCTTGTTATTGGGGGGTTATGAGTTATGAGAATCAATACTTTACTTTAGTTAGCTATATTAGTATATAATTGTTATTGCCTTTCCCTTTTTGCCCATCCATTTTTGGATCATTTGTTCACACTCAATTATATATGTAATGGATGAGGGCCCAAATTCTTACACATGCATCATATTTTTTTAGTATAAAATCTTTAGTAGAAGAAAAAAGGCAACAAATGGGGCCAACTTGGAAATTTGGATACTGTAGCACACCTCACAGCATGAGAAAAATGAGTACTAATAATTAAATTAATATATTATATATGTATCATTTGTTTAGGTAAGTTAATTGCATGATTAATGTTAGGTTGATCTCCTTCATTCGTCGTTGGGTTATTCTATGCTACACTCGAAGAAGACTGCACCAGATGATTTGTTACTGTAGATCTACACATACCAATGTAGGTCTATGTGTATATAAAGGTTTGTGTGTATATATAAATGGTAAAGATCTACTCGGGGTATTTCACCCGGTGTAGCATAGAATAGACCCTCGTCGTTGCTCAATTTTACTTTTATACTTATTGGACGGTTTTCTAGTTCAATAAATTAATAATATGATGCATAATTGGTCTATTGATCTTTAATCAGTCAACTTTGGAAAATAACCTTTAGTGATTCCCAAAGAGTTAGGTTCCGTTCTATATATAGTTAGAAAGTTCTAGAAGTAAATTTCCCAATAAAAACAATAGTTTACAAAACAAAGGTATGCTCAGATTTCTAGAGTCTGCCAACTGCATTCCGCAAAATTGACATCCTTGTATCTTTTGGTCTTTCTAAGAGTGTTACTTATATTACTAGTCTATTTTTAAATTATTATTATTATTCTCAGTTAATTATGTCATGTTCTATGTATTTCGTGAGTCAATGTCAAGCATTATCTATTTTCTAGAATAAGAAGGTGATGAGTCATTTCGAGTTTGTAATTTTCTATATTTTGGAGGGATGTTGGAAAACTTCTATACAAACTTTATCAATGAAAAAACTCAGTCTCAATGTCAAGTTTAAAAACTATTGTGTAAGTATCTTGCATCGAGAGTGAGTGATTCCTTTGTACAAACAAGATCGGTTCAATATTATTAATAAATTTGGGGGCCTTTACATAAATTTTTAATATCAAAATTAAATATTTTGAATATTTATTTTAGCTTAAATACACGTATTAAAATTATTAATTAGTATATTATTTTTTTTTTACAAAATTCAGGCTATATATATTAATATTTTTTTTATTTAAATAAGAAAATAGAAATTTTATTTTGTATTTGGAGGCCCTAATTATAGTACATATAACTTTTGGGCCCTAATTATAATACTCATAAGTTGGGGGTCTGGGCATAGGCCTATGTTGCTGGGGTCTGGGCATAGCCTATGTTGCCGGGCCAATTACATAAATGGTGTACTAGTAGATTCATTTTACACAAATGACGTAGTTTTTAAGTTGTTTATAAAAAGGGTGTAAATCGCGTTGCTTAGTGGCGATTTCTAACTATTTTATTCATGGGCCCAGCTGTGTCAGCAGCTTTTGTTTTTGGTTGGTTGTTGCTTTTCTTTTTCTTTTTTCTTTTATTTTCTTTCGTTCATATTTAGTTTTTTTAATTAAAATATATACTTACAATATGATTATCTATTTAATTATAATCTGATTATTTATTTATTAATTTTAAGAATATAATTAATAAATTTTAATGTAAATCATATTTTTATTGCCTATTAATTTTTTTTATATAAATAATAAAATTATAAATATATTGTTTTAATTAAAAAAGCAAAACATTTCAATTTTAATCTTATATGAAAAGTATTTTATTCTGCAATTATTATTATTTTTAAATTATAAAATTTATTTATAATCTGATTATTTATTAATTTTCAGTACAAAATATTACAAAAATATATTGTTTTAATCAGATTACTAAATATATTTTATTTGTAACAATTATTATTTTTTGATTAAAACAATATATTTATAGTACGATTACTTATTTATTAGCATATAAATTATAAATTCTAATGTAAAGCATATATTTTTTTAGGGCAAATGGCAAATAGGCCAATGACAAGGGCACTTAATTAAAAGACGAACATCAAACTTTTTTGTTTTTCAAATAAATCCAGCCCATTCAAACTTATTTGCAAATAAGGAAAATCCCTTTATATATATACCAAAATTACCCCAAATTCATTGAAACTCAATTCAACTCCAATTTCATGATTAACACTCAAATTTCGCCCAATTTCATCAATTAACCAATTTTAGCCATAATTTTAATTTTGACCCCAATTTTGACCCGCCACCACCGGCGTTGACTCTTTTTTTTTTTTTTTTTTTTTTATAATTATATTTTTTCTTAAAAAAAATATTTTAATTACTATTACTGTCTTGGCTGCTAAATTACTGTCTCCGGCAGTTATTTAACTGTCGGAGACAGTAATTTAACTGTTAATTGACTTTTTTTTTTTTCTTCAAAAATATTTTAATTAATATTACTGTATTCGTTGCTAAATTACTGTCTCCAGCAGTTATTTAACTGTCGGAGACAGTAATTTAACTGTTAATTGACTTTTTTATTCTTAAAAAAAATATTTTTAATTAATATTACTGTATTCGTTGCTAAATTACTGTCTCCAGCAGTTATTTAGCTATCGGAGACAGTAATTTAATTGTTAATTGACTTTTTTTTTTAATTAATATTACTGTATTCGTCGCTAAATTACTGTCTCCAGCAGTTATTTAACTGTCGCAGACAGTAATTTAACGATTAATTGACTTTTTCTTTTTTTAATTTTTTTTCTTAAAAAAATTATTTTAATTAATATTACTGCATTGGATGCTAAATTACTGTCTCCAACAGTAATTTAACTGTCTTAGACAATAATATTAACAATATTACTGTTCGCGAAAATAATATTTATAATATTACTGTCCCAAACAGTAATATTACTGTCTGAGATAGTAATTTAGTAACCAAGACAGTAATATTAATTAAAATATTTTTTTTTAAAGAAAAAAAATTCAAAAAAAAAAAAAAAAACAAAAAAAGAAAAAAGTTAATGCCGGAGACCGGCGGTCAACGGTGGTTGACCGGCCAGAAAAAAATTTCAGGAAAAAAAAAGTTTTCAAAAAAAAAAAAACAGTCAACGCCGGAAACCGGCGATCTCCAGCGGTCAGAGCCGGAATCTGACCAGAAGAAAAACATTTCAGAAACAAAAATTATTTTCTGAAAAAAAAAAATTTGGGGGTTAATGTGATATATTTGTTTAAATCCGGGGTCAATGTGTTATATTAAGGAAGTTAGAGTATAATGGGTGGAATTGATAAGAATTATATTATGGAGGGTATTTTAGACTAAAGACATAGGGATGCGTTTAATTGAGAGACTGTTTTTTTTGGACTAAAATGCATTTAAATCCTATGTGATGAGTCTTTTTACCTATTCACTCATTTTTTTAATATACACAATTAGCAATAAAAAAATATTTGTTTCCACGTCATGCCTTCTTATTTGAAAAAAAAAAAAAAAAAAAAAAAAAAAAAAAAAAAAAACCAAGCCCACAAAAAACAAAAGCTGTTGTATCAGCTGGACACGTTACCGAAATTGCAAGAAATCGCCAATCCCAAATGGCATTTACACCTTGCATGTTAGCTACATAAAAACTACACCATTTATATAAAATATTTTTACTGTTGCACCTTATGGATAAATGATCCCTATTTTGCCTATGTTGGAAATTTTATTTATTAAAATAAAATTATTTTTTGAATTGAAATTAAAAAAAAGTTTTTAGCCACCTATAGTGATTTCTTACAACCCGAAAATTGCAGAAAAGGGAAAAGTACACCTATATGAAAAATCGTGTCAAATCTGAAGTGGTGGTTGTTGGCATTTATCGCCTAAAATTAGAGCCGAGTCACTAGATAGATCGTGAAAATACTTTTTATGTACCTTTATTTTCTAGTAATTTGATTTCTTTGCAAGACTGAATGTTTGTGGTTATTCTACTTTAATTTGTTCAAAAGTTTAATTTTATTGTTTAATTCAATAAAAAGGGGTAAAATAGGAAATATATTAAATTTGGTGGTGAAATAAGATATTTTGAGGGTGGAATAACACGTCTCTTTCCAAAATGGGCATATGGTTAAAAAAAAACAAAAAAAAAAAAACAAGAGGAAATAATAGATGTAATTGAACCTTAAGGGAAGTTTATATAATTTTCTAAATTCGAGGGGTTTTTCTGCAAGTACACTTGATTCTAGGGACAAAAAAGAAAAGACAGCCTACCCTCGGGGGCTAAATGGTTCGACGAAATTGAACCGGTTGATTTTGCTCCCATTGCAACATTTCTCTGCCACTCTACTCTGATTCAGCAAATCTCATTTCCCGGTTGTCTGAAATTTACAATCAAGGTAATTTTGATTCACACGAAACCCTAGCTTCCGCTAATTCGCATTTCATTCGAAAACTTCTATTTTTTTCAAGTTTGCTGAATTACCAATTGTTATACGCTGATCACTCACTTTGTCGACTTTTTTTTCTCGTGCTGAGTGAATTTACGGGTTTTGATTTGATATCAGGCCGATTGAGTGAAGCAAAGGAGAGGAATCGATGGCCACGGTTGATGTAATCAAATGTTGCCTCGACTCCATCAGACAAGTAAGTTCTTAGATTTTCTTCAATTGAATTCGTGGAAAATAAGGTTGTCTGACTTTGATATGAATTCTGTTGATTCTGAGGTTAATTTTAGGGGAATGTATATTGGTATCGGCCATAACCAAGATCTTTTACTTTCTTTTCTTTTTTCGGTATTTTTTTTTTTTGTTTCAGATATCTGAGAACATTAAAGATGCAATTGTATACTTGGATGCTGGAAGTTCGGAAAGTTTCCAGTTTGTCGGGGCATTCCCTTTGTTTCTGGAGCTTGGCGCCCGGGCTGTTTGTAGCTTGGAGAACATGTCAGCTCTTGATAAGGTTGTCTATTCGTTTTCCGACGAGTTTCTCTTTTGATTGCCAAGTTTCGGATATGCATGATGTTTAACTTTCGATGTTTAGGAATGCCATATTTTTAATAGGTTGAAAATAATGAAATGGAAATAAACGTATGTATCATATAATAAGGCCTCGTTTGGTTGGGGAGATTAGCCATGATTAACTAAATAATTGGACTTTGTTTGATGTTTGGTAATCCCTAATAACTTGCCGGGTCGACCAGCAAATATATATGTTATCATGCCTTATCTCGCCTTTTAGGCATGTTTTTTATTGGATCTTCCAAGGTCCAATAAAACGATTGGGTTTCATTAGATTATTTAGTCTTATCTTGGCAACCAAACGAGGCCTGAGTGGAATTACATCAAAATACGGCTGAAAGGTAGGGTTCGCTGTCACTTGTTGGATTACTTGTATTTTGCTCTGGTCTTTCTCCTTTCTCGTACTTTTTAGAGTTATGATGGAGGAATATCTTAATGGTAGAAATTTATTTGTTTATATAATTCTTATTTCCCTTATTTTTCCAGGCTGTCGATTGGAGTACTGATTCTGATTCTGCAAGGAAGATTGTGGTGATTACATCGCGTCTTCTGATTGATGCACATCGGTATATTTTACGTTGCCTGAGCACGCTCCAGAATGTCCGCCATTGTGCTATATATACTTCCATCTCAGAGGTGACAATTTAGTTTAATTTGTTAGAATTCTAACTTTTTTGCTTTGTTTTTGTTTCAATAGTTCTATGAATGTCCCGATTCCCTATGTTTTGTATGTAATATTGTTTGCCCTGATTGTGTTAAGTTCTGCGTAGATGATTTATAATTTATACAAGTGTACCCCCTTCTAGTATTTCAATCATCCGCTGCTTAAACATATTGATCTGAGTGGCAGTATATTTTCTTCTCATTAGGAATTGATGTTTTGGTTCTCATGTGTTGGATATTAGGTCTTCATATTTATATTCGAAGCCTTATTTAGTAAATTCATGTATGTAGAATAAAGTTGTGCTAAACTGTTGCTGAATTAGATTGACAAACTACTACAACAAAAAGAAGCTGTTAATGAGCTTTCATATCAAATAATTTCTATTGACTTATGAAATTAAGTAAGAAGTCGTTAGTAGTTCACGGAAGTTTCAGCCTTAAAGCATTCAGAGGTGTACGGTTTGGTTATATATATATATATATATATATAGACACACACACACACACACACTAACAGTTTCTCACTGGAGTACGAACTGATTAAATTGTTTTCTATTTTTTTAAAAGTTCTACAATTTCCTAAAGGATGTTATTTTTAGGTATCATCTCTAAATTCATACCTTCTCTCAAGTACAGGGGTTCGCAGTTAAGTTACATGAACTTAGCAGTCACTTTTGTAAAGCTTTCCCAAGCACTCGAGTATCATTTAGGTTGTACCATAATCTGTGTAAGGGTACTGCACTTTTCCAATATGATAGTGAAATTTATTTCTTCTGCATCAAGTATAAATCGTTAGAGTTGAACCGTATATAATATAAAGTAACCGCAAGGCAAATATAAGTAGATAATACAAATTAGAGGCTATTGGGACCTCTCAAGTAAGTTTTCTTGCACCTTCGGGTGATTTTGATCTCTTCTTATACATTGTTTTACTTGAACTTGTAGTAGGAAGAGCTGGCCTTCACAGAAGGGCTATCCTTTGGTTTTAAGACATACATGATTACACTTCGAGTAGTTTTCAAATGCTTAGGACAACTTTGTTATGTTAGATGAAAGGACCTCGGCTCTTATTGCTCTGTTATTATTTAGCAAAAAATCCTCTTTTTCATGATGAGGAAGATCTTATCATGTATGCATCAGGATTGGAGAAACCATGATTATTAATCTTTTATTAAATTAAGTCTATGCTGATGAAAATTATTGCTTTATTTTGATCTCTAATTTGTTTAAGGCTCCTCCTGGATAGTATCTTCTCCAATCTCGTAAAAATCTAAAAGCTACCAGTAAAAGTCTTGATGTGTCATTTTGTCACGTTGTTCTGTTCTGCTGTTTTTATCAAGTTCAGGTTTACTATTTGTCTTTTCACACTCTTGAGTGTCTAAACCTTATACTGCTTGTTCCTTGCAATCTGTGTGCACTGCAATTGTCTGATAGATTTCTTTTAAGATTTCACTTCCAGCATCATTTATTGTCATCACTTGTTTTTTAAGGCCAGCAAATTGTGAAGGAAAATGTACATTTACTGGCTAAGCCAACCCTGTTTTAAGTTAGATTGTTAGAGATGATTTTTAAATTGATTAAAAGAAAATTGATTAGTGATTGTTTGATGCAGTAGTTGAGCAAGACTTCATAATATGGAAAAAAGGACATGCTTAGTTGTTATGGCCCCAATAATTTGAATAAATTGACGACTTATCTGTATTTTTCTTGCTAGTATAACTGATATGGAAATTGAAAGCCAAGATATGATTTCAATGTATCTGCTTGCTCATATGTAGTCAACCCTAATACAGGTAGCCCACTCGACGTATCCCAATTCACCTCTGGGCCCAGATGCTTTTCACGAATACGAATCTCTGCTCAACCAAGATTACGAGGAGCTTCTTAAGAAACACGAAACAGATCACAGTTTGTCTGGAAACGTAAGTCTCAAGGAAAGTACTAACTCCGAAGATGAAGGATGGTCGGAACTAACTTCTATTGAAGACAATATTACTGGCCATGAAAACGAAGATGCCGTTTCAAGCGCAAGACCTCATCAAGAAGACGACTTGGGGCAAAAATTGATGCTCTCAGTGCATCACTTCCCGTTGATTCTGTGTCCCTTTTCGCGTAAAGTCTTCGTCTTACCTTCAGAAGGATCTGTAGCTGAAGCAAGCTTATCTGCTGAGCATGAGAATTCTGTAAGTTCGGGTTTACCTCCGTTAAGTACCGGGAGACTTGCCGACACCGAAGATGTCAGTCCCGGGGCAACTCTTACTGCCCAATTTCTCTATCATTTGGCCTTAAAGGTGATACAATTTAACAACTTCCTTTGTCAATATGACAGCATGCATGTTTTCTTTATTACAGATAGTCGAACTTGTTAATAAAAATAGGGTAAAGTCATAACTTTTTGTTCTCCCGAGTTGTGAAAATTTCTGTTTCATGAGTTTTATCTGAAACTTGCAGATGGATCTGAAACTTGAAATATTTTCTCTGGGTGATTTGTCGAAAACGGTAGGAAAGCTTTTGACAGACATGTCTAGTCTTTATGATGTTGGTAGACGTAAAAGATCAGCCGGGCTATTGATTATTGATCGTACACTTGATCTTCTTACTCCATGCAGCCATGGGGACTCGCTTGTGGATCGGATATTTTCATCCCTGCCTCGTAGGCAACGCGTAACGTCCTTGAACCAGACACGAGTCTCCCAAAGCCAACTAAAAAACGACCCACTGAAACTAGAACGTGCTCCTCTTTCTGTACAGATTCCACTCGAAAAATTCATCATTGAAGGAAATGCCAAAAGCAATTCTCAGCTTTTGAAAACTTTAGAGGCGTTTTTGGTTGGGTGGAATACCGTTGACTCAGATGTGCAGACTGTTGAGTTGATGAAACTCAGTAAGAAACTAAGTGATGAAAGTTGCTTTCAATATAACGAGGGTGAACTTCTGCACGGATCCTTTGTCTCTACAGATAATTTCCATGGAGCACCTTACTTGGAAGCGATGCTTGACAGAAGGACGAAAGATGGAGCCATGCTAATCAAGAAATGGCTTCAAGAAAGTTTACGTCGCGAAAATATATCTTTGGATGTGAAAATCCGCCCTGGTTTTCCTTCCAACTCGGAGTTACAGTCCTTGGTTAAGGCGCTAGCCAAAAGACAGTCTTCGTTTCTCAAAAACAAAGGCATTATTCAGTTAGCTGCATCCGCATTACATGCCTTGGATCAATTGCATTCGGCGAGTTGGGACGCTTTTAATAGCGCCGAGAAGATTCTACATGTAAATGCTGCAGATACGAGCCAAAGCCTCGCTGCCCAAATCAGCGACCTCATAAATAAAACTGCTTTAGTTGCTTCCCAAGTGCAAAAGAAAAATCAGGGGCTATTTACTCTTCAAGACGCTCTTCTCCTAGCAATTATCGGCTACATATTGGCCGGTGAAAATTTCCCAACCTCCGGTTCCGGTAGTCCGTTTTCATGGCAAGAGGAGCGTTTCATGAAAGACGCTATTGTGGACGCTATTCTTGAAAATCCAGCTGTCACGAAATTAAAGTTTCTCCATGGTTTGGAAAACTTGCAGAAAATAAAATCCGACGAGGAGAAAGAAGATCCTTCCGTAAAGTTGGATGATGTGGAGTTTGACGATGATGATGATCAATGGGGTAATTGGGGAGATGAAGATGCCGAAAAAGATACTGATAAAGAGGAAGTTTTCGGCGACATGCAGCTAAAGCTAGAGCTAAGAGATCGGGTGGATAATCTTTTCAAATTCTTTTACAAATTATCCAGCATGAAAAGAAATTTAGCCTTGGAAAGTAGGCGTAACGACGATCCTTCTTCGAGTAAAGGGTTGCTGTATAAACTTCTCACGAGCATTTTAGACAAGAACGACATACCTGGAATGGAGTATCATTCCTCTACAGTCGGACGTCTTTTTAAGAGCGGATTTGGAAGATTTGGTCTAGGACAGGTTTTCGTTTAGTCGAACAAGTATACATTTTTTTTTGTGTCCTTCCCGATAATTTCTGAAATAACTGATTTTTTTCCCCTTTTGCATCCCACAGGCTAAACCTAGTCTGGTCGAGCAGAACGTAATACTGGTTTTTGTAATTGGGGGCATAAATGGCGTCGAGGTATGCTTCTTTATTTATATAGTCCTCTTAGGCCTCATTTGGTTAGGGAAATTAGCCATGATTAACTAAATAATGGGACTTTGTTTGATGTTTCGTATCCCCAATAACTTGCCGGGTCGACCCACAAATATTATTGGATCTTCCAAGGTCAAGTAATGCAATTGGGTTTCAATTCATTAGATTATTTAATTTTATCTTGGCTAATCTCATCTTCCCAACCAAACGAGGCCTTATGATTTTAATTGCTTTGTTTTTCCTTCAAAATTTGAAGCCTAATCATGCGTATAATTCGCCTAAAAACATTTTCCTCTCTCTTCTATAACTTGACGGCTATCGACCGAGTGTTCTTGAACCGTCATTTTGCTATAATGCATTGAATTTTGTGTTTGTAAGATGCTTATTTTTTTGTATTTGATTGAAAGGTGCGGGAAGTGCAGCAGGCGTTGACTGAGAGCAGTAGGCCCGATATTGAACTAATACTTGGTGGGACAACATTTCTTACACCAAACGACATGCTTGAATTACTTCTCGGTCAGTATTCTCATATATAGCGTGACGCGCGCGAACCTGTGTAATGTCGATCAGTTTATACGTAGAGATAGTTGGAAGTGTCACCAAAAGATATCTGTAATTGCACTTTTGGAAGTTTTAACTTTGCTATCCTACTCGACAAATTAGTGTTCTCCAGATCTCCTTCGTTAGGTACGAGATGTATGTACATTGTTGTAAAACACAATTTGACAGAAAACGCTGTAATAAGTTTTTGTTTTCTCAGCAAATTATATGTTTATTTTTTTTAATCAATTATGAAATTAATGTGAAGTTCATCGTCGTCCATTCAGATTTGGGGCTCTTTGAGAAAACTTTCTCAAACTCTTTCATTAATAGAGAGAGGGACAATTCATACTTTACTCTTTGCGAGAAATTCATACTGCGTTCACCTTTTCTCTAATGTCAAAAACTCAAAATTGCTCTTGCACAATCTTCTTCCCACTACTCCCATCTCCATTATCGTTTTTCCTTTTTTATTTTTTTTTTCTAAAATTAATTTTCGTTTTTATTTTCTATTTTATTTTATTTTTTTAATTTTTATAAAAAAAAATTAATTATTTTTTTTAACTTTTTTTTTTCGATGTCAAGTTTATTAATCGACTATCAACTAAGGCATAGTCGATTAAGGAACGATTAAGGAACTGACTACTAAAATCGTTGTTGAATAATGAAATTGACGACTAAAACTAAAAGTAACAAAAACAACCGTAATATCGTCAATGAAACCCAACACAATTCAACAAAAAAAAAAAAATTTAAACAGCCAAACAAAAAAATAACAACTTTATAAAAAAAACAAAAAAATAACTATTTTTTTACAAAACAACAAAATATAAAAAAACATATTTTAATTGATTTATACAAATCGAATGATGGATCGAGGGATTGAACTGGATTTAGGCTTTTGTTTGATCTAATAATTGAATAAGGGTAATATTGGTATTGTAATAATATTAATAGCTCAAACTATCTATCTAAAGGAGATTTCTCAAATTTGAAAAAAAAAAGCTTTTTCTGAGGAGGCCTCTGACCAATCATTTTTATTATTTTAGGTTGTGTGTTATATCGTTTTCGCCAATAAATCCATCTCTTTAATATATATTATAAATAAAGCCTAACTTAATGTATATGACAAAATTACCCACAATCGCTTAAACCCAATTTCTAATTGTAACTGGAATTTAACTTTCATTTCATCAATTTTGAAAAGAAAAAAAAATTCAATTTTGACCTTTTCTTTTTAATTCTTTTATTTTTTGAAAATTCTTTGATGCTTTATTTTTTTTCCGGCGCCGCCGACCGGTGACAGTAATATCACTGTCGTTGACAATAAAATTACTGTAAATACAATAATATTACTATCAACCATATCAATTTTTTTTCTTTTTCATTTTGTTTGATTTTGTTGACAGTCAACGTAATGATATTACTGTTTACTATTGTAACATTACTGTTGTTGACAGTAATTACTGTAAACTCAATAATATTACTGTCAACCACATCAATATTATTAACTTTTTTTGATTTGTTGACCGGTCAACGTAATAATATTACTGTCTACTATTGTAATATTACTGTGGTTGACAGTACAATTACTGTAAACACAATAATATTAATGCCAATCACATCAACATTGTTTTTTTTTTATTTTTTTAGCTTTTTTATTTTGTTTGATTTGTTGATCGGTCAACGTAATAGTATTACTGTGTACTATTGTAATGTTACTGTGGTTGATAGTAATATTACTGTCGTTACACTAATATTACTTTCAACGACAATAAAATTACTATCAACCACAACAATATTAATTTTTTTTTTATTATGTTTGTCTTTGTTGACGATCAACATAATAATATTACTGTATTATATAATAATTTATTATGTAGCATTGTGGTTTTGTTTTGTTAATATTACTGTGCTAGACAGTAATATAACAATATGATTGTGTAACATATTATTGTTTTACACAATAATTTAATATGTAACATAATAAATTATTATGTAATATTACTGTTTATTACGGGGAAAAAAAAGTTCAATGCCGTTAGTCAGCGGCGGCGACAACATGGGAAAAAAGACAATTCAACGCCGGAGACTGACGGTCAACAGCGGCTGACCGACGATGACGGTGAAAATTGGAGTCAAAATTGGGATTGGGGTCAAAATTGAATAATTAATAAAATTTGGGGTCAAATTAGGTTAAATGGATGAAATTGGAGCATATTAAAATGTGAGGGGGATATTTTAGTCTTTCACGCACCTCTTGATTTTGTCTAGACTTTTTGTAAACGAGTTTTTGGTCTGGACCTATTTATGATTAAGTAGCCCGTAATGAGCTTATTTGCAAGGTTGTAAAAGGCGGGAATCGGACCCGAGTCGGTTAGGCACCGCCTCACGATTAATCGGTGCGGTGGTGATTAATCGGAGATAAATCGGAAATAATTTTTTTTTTTAAAATTTAATGTAATATAATTTTAGATATTATTTGTAAATATTCAAAATATATATAAAAATATGTTTAAAAATAATTTTGTCTCGATCATTTATATATCATAATCACGTAATAATATTTTAATAATAATAAGATCATAATATAATAAAAATTCTTACAAAATAAAAATAAAACGAAAATATTGTGCATCTAAAATTGTACTTGAACATTGAAAGCATGTATTATTATGGCCTTTAAAAATAAAAATTAACATTAATAAAATAAAACAAAGCATAAACTCATAATTTATTAAAAACAACTTTTTTTATTTAAAAAAATAAACGATTTTTGTTATGAAAGTTTGACCCGCCTCAACCCGTCTCGGACCACCTACAATCGTCTCATAGGCAAATACCGATTTTTCAAACATTTACACTAATATCGTAGCGGTTTTAGATCGCCTCCACCTCGAACACTGATTAATCGGCCGCCTCGACCGATTTTTAGAACACTGATATATACTACTAAATTATGAATGTCTACGGCCAAAATTTGAAAATTTTAACTTTAGCTCTTGATCAATGGATGTCAACCACGACTTGGAGAGATTATTCTTTTGTTTATTGACAATTTATGTATCATAAGAACCTCACCTTTGTGCTTTCTCGAGAGAAAAAATATCGTGCTTCTAATATTAAATTATGTCAGTGATTTAAAAGATTGCTAACTAGAAAGGCAACGAAACAAAGACAGTGATTGAAAGCATTAATTAAAGGGGCATTTAGCAATAAACCCCTCCAACCGCTAAGAAATAGAGAAAAACTCAACATAAATTCAACCTTTGCAAAACTCCTTAGCTTTTTCCCCCCTAAAATACCTCTCATTTACCTATTGCATCAGTATTTATGTGGACTGCATTTAGCAATTTTGAAACTGTATTTTATTAATTTCGGACTGCATTAAGCATTATTATTATTAGTATTATTATTATTATTATTATTATTATTATTATTATTATTATTATTATTATTATTATTATTATTATTATTATTATTGTTATTATTATTATTATTATTATTATTATTATTATTATTATTATTATTATTATTATTATTATTATTATTATTATTATTATTATTATTATTATTATTATTATTATTATTATTATTATTATTATTATTATTATTATTATTATTATTATTATTATAATAAACACAATAATTATAATAATAATAATTATAAAAATAATAATAATAATTATTATAATTATAATAATAATAATAAATATAATAAATATAATACTGAGATGCTGGTCATGTAACAAATTCCTTCTTTATTGACCAAATCACTGAGGCAAGTGCACTATTATCGAAAATACTCATTGCCGCACGTCTTAGCATGTGTCGATGTGACATATACGTAGTCAGGCACCCTTTCGCATTTAATTCTGCGTATGAGTTCAACTCTCCAAATTCTGGAAAGAGAAAGTTGCGTAATAAATTTTATATTATTGCATACTTTATTAAATACCAGGTGAGATTTGTAGTGCGACGAGGAAATAAATATGTAATTAAATGCAATGAGGAATTAAATAAGGTATTAAATTGGTAATTAATTATTTGGGGCTTTAAGATATAGGTCCCTAGTGACAAAACTTATTTAAATTAAATTACAAGTCTAACTAAACATTTGTTTCACATCCTTTATAAATTTCATTCCAAAAATGCCCCCACATACAAAAAATGAAATATGCACCAAGTAATATTTAAACTGTATTTATCAATTTTTCATTCTGCATTTAACATTTTTATTTTCGCATCTAGCATTTTTGTTATTATTTTTTTTGGTAGAACAATTTTTTTTTTTTTTTGCATTTTCGTATTTTTTCCAATTTTTTTCTACATTATATTGAAAATTATGATTTTTTTTTAATTTTTGTCGGCCGTAGTTTTTTATAGAAATCCGTAGGAAACCATAGTAGTTTGTAGAAAACTGTAGTAATCCGTAGTCAAGTATTCTTAAAACCCTAAGTCTTCTTTTGAACCCTAGCCGTCACACACCATAGACACCCATAGATATTCATAAACATCTATAGCCATGAAATGGAAAATTTTCAGATTCGCTTCACCAATCCGTAGATTTCCTCCACCAAACCTAGATCTACGACGCTAACATCACTACGTCGTTAAAGATGCCACAAACCCCACCCACGTTACCATTACCACCATACCCTACCCCCCTGATACGATCTCTTGAGTATCATAAGATTTCTTTACTGAACGTAAGAAAATTCTTCTTTATTATTTCTCTTCATTCTAAAACCCTAGCACAAGACGACTATTTAAAGATAATAAAACCCTAGAATCCTAATCTAACTAGGAAAGATAATTACCTATACTAATAAAATACTTAATAATTCCCTAATCACTAAACACACGACTATATCTATATCCTAAATTATACTATTTTAATTAATTAATAATTAAATATGAACTAAACTAATAATTAAATAATATACTAAATAGTATATCGTATCAAACCACCCCTCTTGAAATGAACCTTGTCCTCAAGGTTGGAGTCAATTTGGTCCATCTCCTTTGCATTTCCACCTATGTTTGACTTCATCGACTTGCTTCCTGATTGACTCCGACTTCGAAAAACACGATGAACGACAAAGCTTATTAACACATTGTTCATGTTGATCCAACGAAATTCCAAAGACTACTTTTGCAAAAAATCTCAATCTTCTCAATCTCTCTCCCGATAAATCCTCAATCGCCTTTTCAAATTCTATCTTCCTCACAATCAATATCATG